GTGAGGTTGACCTGTAGATACACCCATGCAAAACAAGACATTTAGATACACTATCAGGAATCGAGGTGAAGTATTTAATTCTTGCTTCTTAGGTCTTTCATATATAATTGTGGTTGGTAGCTTTGTGAGTAGAAATATAAAGTTTACTCTTGATGCCAATCGTACAGACTGAAGTGGAATATGGCTAACTGCTTTTAACATCATAATCTTTATTTTCCAAGAAAGAAAGGACATTCAATCTTCTTTATGAAATGGTTACCAATTGTGCATGGGGTCAAAGCAATTTTGTCAACTTCCGAAGTGTAGTAAGGAGGTCAGATTAATCTGTATTTTCAGCAGGGATCTACATCACAATTAGGCTATTTCATACAGGGCCTGAGAAAAGCCATGATTCAGTGTTTTATCACATTTTCTTTTCAGATAATATATTTGCAAAATGTCAATGATTCTCTTAATGTTCACTCATCCCCAAATTCACTATAATAACTAGCATTTGCTAAGAAATAAAGAGCACAAAGAACTTCTTTAAATAACGCAAACATTGCTTTCTTCATTAGACTTATACACATTTGAATCAATGGGGGAAAATGGTCAAATTGACAACCCTTTTGAATTATAAGGCTATGACACTAGTACAATATATATCCACTTTAAAATGTCATATTGGCACTTTAGAACTTTCTAAAAAATAATCTAAGGAATGATATACGGTAGATTTATGGTTCAATATAAAAACATGATTTTAGATGTCTGTGTAGCATATGCTAAATAATTTGCACAGATATGGGGGAATTTGGTATGTCTGGGGTAGCACAAAGTTATTATTCACTTGATAAATAATTGAATTTGGTTCACAAAATAGGTTTAGGGATACCAAAGAACGTGTCTAAATATGCATTGTAAATATCAAACACCCTGCCTGCAATAACTTTATACATTATCAATTTATAGAATTTTGTATAACAATGTTATTTCTCTTTCAGTTTATAAAAGATCTAACCTAAAAATTAGATATATATTTTTAATTTTTCCTGTGTTCAATATATTAGATTTTCTTTAATGAAGCAGTAGTTATTGTGTATCTTACTTGTGTCTTGCATGTTAGACACAGTTTTGAATAAAACAGACTTAATGAAATGTAGAACCAGATCAGATGAGCCATTGTTTATGAAAAAAGACAACTTTTAATCTTAATCTATTTTCACCAGAATATAATTTAGAATTAGGAAGAATAATGGAAGTTAACTGATCAGTGTTCTTGGAAATTTCATGGTACTTCCATTTTTTAGATCAATTTTAAAAATATTCATTGTTCTAGGGTTGATGCTGTAGATGCAGCACTGAAAAATATCCCCTACCTTCATGGAGTTTAATCTAATATTTCAGTTAATATATATATATATATATATATATATATATATATATATATATATATAATTCAACATATTAAAAATAGTGTGGTTTACAATTTACTTAAAATACAAAATGATTCATAATATTTTCACTTGACTTGTATTAGTCTAGTAGAAAATGTTTGAGACACAAAACATATTTAAGTGTTTACTGGAATTTTTCAGTAATGAAATGCTTTTTTCATAGAATGTCATATTTAATATATCTTACTATATTTAACCATGACATTTATTAAGAAGACACAGTATTGTTTTCTGAACTTGCTGGAAATATTTTTATGTAATAAAAGAAAATTCATCATAGCTTTTTCTACCAATTATTCCAATGGCCAGGAATCTAATTGTGTCCCTCTCAATTTACTCCAATATATTAGCTACAATGGAAGTGAATTGCAATGGAATGAGATGGCATTGAGCTTATTTACTTATTCAACATTTTTGAGACTTTTAACTCTTCTAGACTGCATGTATCTTTGTTTGAATATCAATTACATTTATACCTCATTTGCTTATCATGCTTAGAATTAGAATTTGTCTTTTTTTGTCATGGTTTTAAAATTTAATTATTTATCATTTTATTTCATGATAGCAGGAAGGAAACTCTTGATGTAACAGAGATGGTACCTTCCAATAAATCTTTAATAATACTGATGGAAAGTTCTGCTGTTCTTGTGTTAGCAAAGATAGATCCAAAGCATAGCCAGACGTTGTTGCTGTTTTTTTGTATCTTCTTAGGCAAATATCTTATCAAGCTGTTCTCTTTTTCTAGTTCTTATCCCTCTTTCTAATAAAAAATGTAATCTTGTCTCTATAGTTAACCAAGGCAGAAACATTAGTTATCCCTTTTGTCCAGTAAATAATCAGTACTTTAACAACTTTCTTATAGGTCAATACCTTTCCTAGAATTTTCTTATTCCAGAAATAAATCTAACTAAATATTTCCCCATAAAACATTAAATTAATATTTAAAATCATGTAACCTTATAAAATCATTGTAAACTATACAAATAAATTTATTTTTTAAATTATATTCTGATATAACTAGGTAATCAAGTTGATAAAAAGAAAATGTAAGATATAATATACATTAAAATTATCCTGTAATTGTCAATAAAATACACATTTTCTGATTGTGGGGTTTGACATTCAACAAATAATAGTTCTAAACCAAACATATAGGAAAAAAATATTTTCAGAGAAAATACACACATACATGCATAAACTATCCATAATTAAATACAAAAAAATTATAACTCCTCCTGATTAAAACTGCTAGGAGATGCTGGGTTTTGAATTTAGGATGACAAAAGTATCCAGACTTATGATTGTAGTCTCAAGTTGAAATTTTAACATGTAAGATTATACTGGCATTATTAATGCCTCCTTTCTAAATCCTTTTCAAAGTATAAACCAAGCTTTTGAACAGAATATTTCTAAGAAATAAATATAAACATTGGTAGAAGATTAATATTGTTGAAGAAAAGGATTTGATGAGATTATTATTCAATATAATATCTGATTCTATTAGAATATTTCTAGATAGGAAGTTAGAGATGGATACTGTGTTCCTTCAGTATAAACTATTTGAATTAAAATGTGACTCCTGAAAAATGCAGGCTCTTTTTACAATGTGTGAGCTATTACTTTTCACTTGTTTTAAAGTAGAACTTTCCAAATGTAGACTGAAGAATAACCTTTATTTCTTGGATAGAAATCAAAATCTCCTTTTTTTGTCACCTAATGAAGAATTATTCTTGTAGAAGAAGAGCATTCCCTAATGTCTCATGAGAAAGCTATTAGTATGAGATTGTCACATTTCTTAGATAGGAACTTAATGCCAAACATTAATGTAGACATTCATTTTCACAATCGTTCTTGCATCTTACATCTCCCTTCTGCTTTGATGAAGGTTATATGGGTAGGTTGTGAAAAATAACGAGCTGAGATTTAGAAGTAGAAAGATTATCTACTTCCTTATTGTTTATTTTTTTTTCTCACTTGAAAAAATGGAGCCATAGTCAATGAAAGGATTGATGATGGAAATCCAAGTGATTTTAAATGTGGAAAGCCATGCAGTAACAAAATAAATCTGGAGGATTTTATACATGCAACACAGTATGGCCATTTAGATGCGCCTAGCAGTCTCACTTGCACAAATACCCCTTTTCTGGTGTCACCTATTCCTTTCATATTTTATCTCCCTCATTGTTTTTAGCTGACTCATAAAAATGTAGCATGGGATACTGTACAGGAGAGATGATTCTCTCAAGGCCACGAAGGGAGAGAGTCACTTGCCTTCCCAATATCCTCTTCTTCCTCACTAACATGAGTGCTTGTTTAGATTCTGTTCAAGTAGCAATATGTCCACCTAAATACTTGCTTCCTCAGCCTCTCTTGCAGAACAATGGCCATGAGAGATCGTGCTGGCCAGTGAATACATATTTAATCCCTGAGGAGAGCATCTCTTTCCAAAGAGATAGTTGGTGCCTTACTAGGAGAAAGTATCTTGCTTATTATCCTTTCCTCACATGCCTTGACTTCAGACTAACACCTTTAGATGCAGCAGCCCTCTTGCGCCTGGAGAGAATAAAGCCAACACACAGAACAGGTTGTGTGTACTGTGGAGCAGCCAAACTAATATCTGCAACTGCCTTCTGCAGGTTTCTTATTATTATGTGAGAAAAACCATCCCTTAGCTACTATTAGTTCAGTTTTTGTACTTGTAACTGAATGCTTTATAGACTGACATATGACTTTAAGTTGTTATTTTTATTAAACAAGAGGAGGAAATGTGGTAGATATTGAGCAGGAAGATGCTATGTATATTTCTAACCAATTTCTTAAAAAAAATAACAATAGTATTTGCAGAAGAATGTTAATTTTATTTCTGGATAGCTTAAAGAGAATCGATGTATATGATCAACCATTGTTCAGGGAGACAAGTTACCTGATCAAGGCAAGTGTTGTGAAATAGAGAAACAAGTAAAAATTGGCATTATTGTATTTTATCCCATGGTCATACCATTGTTCCCATGGTCAAACCATAGTGTTTTTATTCTATCTTGCATTGTGTTGTTCTCAAGGAATGATTGGCAGTTCTATTGATTCCATAGAAGACAAAGATTTTTTTTTTTTTTTATGATTGGACCCTTCATTAGTTTTAGCTTCCATTTGGGACTAATTATTTACTCATTGACTCTAGTCAATGTCACATTGACTGAAACAATTTTTTATAAGGGAAATTTGATAAGTTGTACCAAAAGTCTTAAAAATATTTTAAAAATGTATGATTTTATAATGTCATTTGTGGAAATTTATTTTAAAAAACTAATCTGAGATAAACAGGTTAAATGACCAAAAAAGAGGGGATTCATTAAATAAGTACTATTTAATTTATTCTTTGGCATATTGTATTCTCACTAGAAATAATGTAGAATGTTATTTGATTACCACTAATTACTCACCAATCACTATTATAATTAGCAGGCTATGCAATATTATATGTAATATTACCCCAATTTCAGGAAAAGAGATTAGTAGCGTCTATGCCAAAATGTTAAGAATGTTTTCTCTCTGAACATTTGGATTATGAGTGTTTGTTTGTTTGTTTTTATTTTTTATCTTTTCAATTTTTCCATTTAATTTATATGACTCAGAAAAAAATATGTTTACAGATATACTGGCTATTAACGAAGTAACTCTGACATTGAAAATATTTTAAGGGTAACTCATTTTTATTGACTACCTTTTCATCAACAAAAGGCTTGACAACAAATCTGTTTGTTTGTTTTAATACAGAAATCCTAAATGGTGGAGTCTATGTAGACCAGAACAAATTTCTTTGTTATGCAAACACAATTCATTGGCAAGATATTGTTCGGAATCCATGGCCTTCCAACTTGACTCTGGTGTCAACAAATGGTAGCTCAGGATGTGAGTAGCATTACCCTTTTTAATGTCTGAAAATGTTCTTCTACTTCTTGTGAAAATGAACAGCTTTTGTTTATCATGGCATTGATAATATTTTGAATTTTGATTACATCCATTGAACTGTGCTGTTTTACACAACAGAACAATCTTTTACTTGAAATTTACTCTCTTTTTTGGAATGATACTTCCCCTTTACAAATTACTATTTTCTTAACATGACATTTTCAATAAACAAAAATTATGTTAGCATATTTTCAACTTATAAATATGTGCCCCATTGTCCATAAACTTAAGGCTGATGTCTACTGCTTTACCACTGAGATTAAGGTAGTTGTGCTTTCCTATTTATTATAAATTTAAAAAATTTAAAATTATTGAACATTTTAAAATTCCTAAGCCTTCATTTGCCCCTAAAATCCTCATGACAATCTGAAACACAATAAGTAGAGGCTAAAAATATATACTTTATATAGGAGAAATATATGTTATATTCTGGTTTTAGTCTGCAAATAAACAACCCAATTTACCAATCTTAAAATGTATTATTTCTACCATAGAGAATTTATCAGATTAAAAGTGTTCAATATAATTACATTATAAGCAAATAATATTCAATCATTGAAATCTTTGAAAAATTTTCTGTCAAGAATCGGTGTCATTTTTATAAAGGAGGCTCTGTTGTCCCCATATTTATTATTACTGATGTTTGTATGAGAATATAAACTTCATTAAGTGTTAACCTGGGTTTTATATTTCTCATCTATTATTATATATTTCCCACCTGAAATCCTAACTATCGTCACACAATTCAACAATTATTTGAAATTGTACTGATTGTGTTATGATGCTTTATAGAAAATCAAACTCCAAGGGACAAGTATTAAGTTTCATTACAGTCCTAACAATTTAATGGGGAAATATGAGTACATTTGATTCAAACTGACAGCTGTGTTTCAATAAATGGCTGAAACATTTTTTAAGCAGAGTAACATAATTTTCTCTTCTTTTGAGCAGAAATTTGTATGTGATTTCATCTTTCCATTGTTCAAGTTGCCTATCTCATAAAATTATATGAGAATAAAAGATTGAATCTGTTCACACTAACAAGGCAAATGATGTGTTTCAGAAATGGCTTCCATGTTCAGTCTGCTCAGACTATGGTACATTATGTATAGAAAATGCATAATGGTTTGATAAGAGGAATGGCCCACTGACTGTCAGCTTGTTAGAGGGACTAGCCTGTAATGCATGAACAAGATCAGACAGGAATAAAGCCCAGGACAGAAGGCAAAAGGAAGTGTGTCCACCAGCCATACAGAACATGGAAGAAAAAAGGTCTGAGGGGCTTGCTGCACTTTCACAGATGGTATCTCTTTGTGTTGTTCTTTTCAGAGTGAATTTGGATGGTTGTGCCTATAATTAGGCAACTAGAACTGCATTTCTTTTTGCCTGCAAGTAATTGCAAGCACAAAAATTATAAATGCAAAATAGAGTCATAATGAATGGTACTTTGCAAATTAACCACCAATTGCTTATCAAAGTTTTATTCTTTATATACTAGTTCTATTTGCTGACTCATTATATATAGTGCATATCACCATAATTGATGATAATTAATTGGTTGGTCTTTGAATATTGATCACCTATGTTCTCTGGAGATCCAGATATCCTCAGTTAGTTTCTTCCTTGACTTTCTTCCCATGGGTGATCACAGATACTCTTGTGGTTTTAAATGCAAATTCTACCCTGCTGACTCCGAGAGCCACACACCACCAACCAGTCACCTAAGTTTAAAATAGGATAGTCATCATTGACTTCACTTTTTCTTTGGTCTTGGCATTTATTTAATCATTAAATCATGATAAATCTGCTTATTTCTTTATTTTGCATAGTTCTTATTTCCATTACTCTAGCTCAAGACTTCATCTGTTGCCAGAGTTACTGAAAAAAAAGTTCTCTAAATTCTTTTTATTTTTTAAGTATATTTTATTGATTTTTTTAAAGAGAGGAAGGGAGAGGGATAGAGAGTTAGAAACATCGATGAGCGAGAAACATTGATCAGCTGCCTCCTGCACACTCCCTACTTGGTATGTGCCCGCAACCAAGGTACATGCCCTTGACCAGAATCGAACCTGGGACCCTTGAGTCCTCAGGCCGACGCTCTAACCACTGAGCAAAACCACTTAGGGCTCTCTAAATTCTTAATATTTTTTGAGACCACGGATCCTGTGGCAGTCTAGTGAAACCCATAGTCCCCTTGTTATAATATTTTAAATAAATAAAAAAGCATAAAAATAAAGTTGTTATATTTTAAATTCATAAAATTAATACATTTATGAAATATATTACAAAGGATTGTAATAAAATTATATTGAATACATGTATAATCATACTTATAAAGTAAACATATGATATAGTAAGTGTTTCTTTAGTTGTACATTAAATAAAAAATTTTAATAGTATAATTAATATGTAGTGGAGTTTTGAAGCAGTGATAGGCATAAATACTATTTTTAAAGGACAGTTTCTTAAAAAATAGTGTTGAGAAAACTACATAGCCACAAGTTTAATGTTAGACTTTTATCTTATAATATAAAGATAATCAAAAGTGATTAAAGACCTAAATATAAGACCCCAAACTATAAGACTTCTAGAAGAAAACATGGATGAAAAGCTCATGACATTGGATTTGCCAATGATTATTGAAGATGACATTAAAAGCCTAGGCAACAAAAGCAAAAATAGAAAAATGGGTCTACATCCAACTTAAGACTATGTTCATCAAGGGATACAATCAAAGAGTAAAAACACAATTAACAGAATGGGAGGAGATATTTATAAATCATGTATATGATAAAGAGTTAATATCCTACAACTCAACAATAATAACAAAATAAACAACCTAATGGAAGAACTGGCAAAAGATCTTAATAGACATTTCTCCAAAGATGATATACAAATAACAATAAGCATACAAAATGATAGTCACATCACTAGTTATTAGAGAAATGCAAATAAAGACCACGAAATATTACTTCACACCTATTAGAATGACTACTATCAAAATACTAGGAAAATAGTAAATTTTGGTGAAGATGTCCAGAAATTTACACACCTGTGCGGTTTTGTTGAAATTGCTAAATAGTGCAATTGCTATGGAAAATGGTATGGTGGTTCCTCAAAATTTTAAAATAGAACTACCATATCATCCACAAATCCCATTTCTTATTATATATCCAAAAAAATTGAAAGCGGGACCTCAAAGAGATATTTACACACCTATATGCATAGTAGCTTTAATCACACCTAGAGGCCCGGTGCATGGATTCATACACCCTGGCTGAGTGGGGTCCCTCAGCCTGGCCTGCGGGATCTGACCTAAACCAGCTCTCTGACATCCCCTGAGGGGTCCTGGATTGTGAGAGGGCACAGGCCAGGCCTAGATGCACCACTAATTCTGAATTGTTTTCTAAAACCCAAAGGGTCCTGGGTTTGATTTTGGTCAAGAGCATGTACCTTGGTTGTGGGTACATCCCCAGTAGGGGGTGTGCGGGAGGCAGCTGATTGATGTTTCTCTCTCATCGATGTTTCTAACTCTCTATCCCTCTCCCTTCCTCTCTGCAAAAAATGAATAAAATATATTTAGAAAACAAACAAACAATCAAAAAAACCACAAAAAACTCCAAACCAGCTAATGATAAAAATGACAGTGTGTGGGAATTGGCAAATACATAAAAGATCATTAAGTTCACAAATATAAGTCCAGGAGTAATTATTTGTTTAAACCAGATGATCTGCCTGAGTGAAATCAATTAGGAAAATTTGAAACTACATTTTGGTTTTAATGACTCATATATCTTAAGAATTGCTCACTCTTTACTAAATATTGCATATTGTGTCCCATATAGATAACTTCCCTGAACGAGAAAATAATTGTCTCAAAATAGAGTAGAATTAAAACTGATATTTTTACCAACATTGTTACTTCCTCAACATTAAAATCTTTACATAAAATAGAAGCACTCTTCTAAGTTTGAACTTTTGTAGAAGAGTTTTTTTTAAAAAAAGTAGCAGGAAAGTATGCCCACAATGCAGTTCAATACAGCTTCAATTTATGTGTATTATATATGCAGATAACCAGTTCCACACAAATGCAAACATAGTCAAATCATGCATACTCTTCTCAAAAGATTTTTACATGAGAGCTTAAAGAAATTATATATTTATATAAATATATATATATATTTATATATAATATATATATTTAGATATATATAATATATATTATATAATATATATTATAATATATAATATATAGATATATCTTAGTAAGAATAAATGAATCCTTATTAATTCAAAGAATAGCTTTTAGAACAGACCTATTAAATTGAAGTAGATTCTTTATGAACCTCAAATAATAAAACAAAAACAAATGAATTAAAGATCACATAGGGCCCGGCCAGTGTGACCTCCTATGAGCCAGGAGGTCATGGTTCGATCTCCAGTCAAGGCACATGCCCAGGCTCAAACCCCAGTGTGGGGCAGCAGAAGGCAGCCAATCAATGATTCTCTCTTATCATTGATGTTTCTATTTCTTCCTCTCCCTTCCTCTCTGAAATCAATAAAAAATATATTTAAAAAAGATCATGTAGGAATTCAGTTACAATTAATCTAAACAAAATATTAGCAAATAAAACTAATAGATTCTAGGATGTATTTCAAGTGTAGCTCTGCTGTCTTTTTTTTTTTTTTTAATTCTCACCTGAGGATATTTTTTCCTTTTTTTCTTTTTTAGAGAACGTGGTATGAAAGGAGGACAGAGGGGGAGAGAGAGAGAAAGGGAGAGAGAGAGAGAGAGAGAGAGAGAGAGAGAGAGAGAGAGAGAGAGAGAGAGAGAGAGATTAACATGGATGTGAGAGAGATACAACTATGATTGCCTCCCACAGTAAGCACCCACAACAGGGGCCAGGGATTAAACCTGCAAGGAGTTACATGCTCTTGAC